GCTTCGGCTCCGGTCCATCCGAATTACCACCAGAGTTGGCAAATGTTGGCTTTGGCATTGGCGGCAATGGCATTAATTTCAATGTACCTGCAGAAGGAGAACCAGCGGAATCTTCCGCTGAGAAAACTTCTGCATCTTCCGAGAAAAGGGCGAGAAGGCCGAAACAAAGGTAGTACACAATTTCCATCTCATAAGTTCCTGTTGTAATTTTCACTTTACAGAAAGCAGCCTAATCCGGACGCATTCAAAGAAGAGTCCCTGATCATTCCACAAAACTCAGGACTACGGCCTGTAGCGCCACCGAAAGAGTTCCTCGATGGAGGCGGATTCGGACCTGGTTCCTCTTCCAGTATGTTCACTGCCGTTCCGTGTCATGGAAACCACCATATGAGATGATTTACAGGTGGCGGAGGCGGCGGTGGAAGCTTTGGAGGAGGTGGATTTGGCGGAGGAAGCGGCGGCGGCGGCGGTGGCGATGATAGCGACTCAGGAAGCGCGCTAGGTTTAGGAGGTGATGGAAGTGCTGGAGGCGGTGGAGGAAGAGGAGGAGGTGGTGGTGGAAGAGCTAGAGGAAAAGCTGGTCGTGGACGAGGCGCTGGTGGTGGAGGTTCCGCTAACTTAGCTGGGGCAGAACCGGAACAACCTCCAGGTTTGTGCAGTGTTTTCAAATGTTATTTGAAATCGCTGATGGTATACTTCAGACCTGTTCACCGGGGATTCGGCACTTACGCCCTCTCGTGGACCTACTGGTGATGGTTATGGACCACCGATCTTTCCTGGAGGTGCAGTTCCGCCACCTGTACCGGCAGTAGGTCTTGGAGGTGCAGCAGCTGGAAAAAGCCCCTATGGGGCACCACTTATGGAAGCGACGGAAAATCCACCGACCACGGTGAGAATTGATGTTTCGTATTTGATTTTGTCTTCAAAAATGTAGTTATTTTCAGGTCAAGCCATCAGCTCTTTTGAATGTTTTGAATAAAGCTGATCAAGGAATCAACCAAGCAATCACGCATTTTGAACAAGGAAGTCCTCTAGAGACAGCGGCTATAGATATCTTGGAAGGTATGGGTGGTAGAATAAAGATCTTCTGTTTTACATTGATGCTATCTCAGTGGCGTTGGGCTCCCAGAGGTTGGACTCTCAAGCTAAACTTTTGGGACACGTGGATAGGGCTATAGGATTGGACAATTTGCAACGGATACAACGATGGGCGAACACAGCTGGTGCTATGGATGTGTTCAAAGAAGAGGTAAACATTTGAACTCATTGATAGATTGACCTAAAAGGACTATTTCCTCGAAAAAATTGAGAATTTACAGGTGGTGAAATTCATCAAGAACTTTGAACCACCTGAGGATCTCCTTCCGACAATACCTCCGCAACTTGATTATTTATTCAAAACCTCAGGACGGTAGTCGGTTGTCCTGTGCTACTGTTATTTTATCCAAAAAACCAACTCATTCACGGGAGTACCGCGTTGCAAGCCAGGATGTTCAGGTCCAATCGCTCTCTCACTCATCTATAAGCGCGCCAGTGAAGGCACAGTATCGCGGTTCTAGAACTTTGATCATTGTCGTATCGTTGTTTAGTTCTAGTGTAGTTGATGCTAGTAATTATGTTATTTATTCTATAATTATTTATATTATCTTTATATGCATGAACTTTGCGTCTTTCTATTATGTCCAGTCTCGTCTTCGCTTTTTCACTTGAAGCTCTCTAAAGCTGCTTTGCTGCTGTTGTTGTACAGTCCGTTACGAAACTTCTTGCCCAACTGCTCACATCACTTGCCATTGTGATTCTCGCTCGGTATATTTCTGTATGCAGAAAAACGAAATCTCAAATAAATTATTGAAATCATCTGAGTTTATGTGGTCATAAGTGACCGCCGAAAAGTTGCGGATAAGCCCCCCTCCCTTTTTCATCGCCCATTTTCAGATGGAA